TTGGTCCCTAATTTTAATTAGCGTAACATTATTATTTTTCATTAATTGGAGAAACAACCGACCTTCTAGCTAGATTATAATTACTATTACTCTATTATATGTTTGGTAATTAAAGTATACATCAGCCGCCTACCTTAAAAAAATAGGGTTGTCAAAAATTTCGCCCACTCGACCTGCATCCTTTCTTGACTAGCCAATGAAAAAAATTTTAGTATGTCGGAAAATTGTAGGTCCCATAAAAATTTCGCATTTTTATTCGATTTGCACATATATTTAATTTTTTGAATATTTTTGTTAAACCTTATAATAATGCATATATTTTTTAAGAGTAATATAATTGGTCAAAAAATTTCATAAAATTGATATTCATACATATGGAATATCTATACTACAAATAAAACTTATAATTATACATATATATTTTTAAGAATAATATAATCAATCAAAAAGTTTCACAAAAATTAACATTTATACATAAAGAATATATAACTAAAAGTGATCTTAGATGTAATTTATAGATTTAAATGCATAGAGATATGATGGTAATTTAGATATTAAGAGTGAAATGATAGAGTGACCTTTTTAATTTTTTAATAGGATAAAATAGTAAATTAAAGTTTTTATGTTAAAGTACTTTTATTAATAGTATAGATAGATAACTTGTTTTTTTTTTTCAATCCAAACGGCTTAATTTCTAGGAAGCTGCATCTCAATAAGAAATCAAAAATAGTCAAAGGAAATTACCACGAAGATACCGTGTACCTTCATGTATCCAATCTATTAATAATACCCTTCAATTGTTTTACAAACTTACTAATTCGATAGCCTTCCGATTTTCATTTGTTGTGAACACGAAGAACAAACAATCCGTCTTATAAGATTATAAGGTTACAATTGTCTTTTTACATTGAATAGTTGCAATATTTGATGTTTTTAAGTAGGTATTATACAGATAATGTTTGTGACAAACAAACAAGGGGAATATAAGATTATAGTTTAAGACCGGGTATAATATACCATTGGTTCAGAGTGGAATGAATATAAAATCTTATACCACCTAAATCTTATACCACATAATATATTCAAAATTATTTGTATTTTGTTAGTTGTATGAATGCTTACTTTAGCCCGGAATAAACAAAATTCTGGCTCCGCCCTTGATTGGAGAAATTAGTTAGAAATTTCCAACAATGCTTAGCTTACTTTGTTTCTCTAGACCAACAAAGGTCAATGCAATGGTATTTCTTAACAATTAAGATTAGAATTAGTGACAAAAAGAGATAAGTTTGAGGATTCAAAGATGTATGAAACGTAAATGAACTTTCATGCTACAAGCGTCAAACAACAATTTCATTTCCAAGGTGGACCCTAGTTGTCATTTTTTCATTCAGTAATGCTATGCTGATCAAAATTAGAGACTAAATAAAGAGTCTAAATGATATAACAACCTAATCAGCCTTCCAAATCAGTTGATATGTCATTTAATAAAGAGCCTAAATGATATGACAGCTGACTTAGAAGGCTGATTATTGTCTAATCAGTCTTCCAAATAAAATACCATGTTATTTAAATTCTTTATTTGATCCCTAATTTTGATTAGCATAATAATACCCTTCATGTATCCCCTCTATAAATAATACCCTTCAACTGTTTTACAAACTTACTAATTCGATAGCCTTCCGATTTTCATTTTGTTGTGAACACGAAGAACAAACAATCCGTCTTATAGTAAGTTTCTTTACAGTTTTGTAATTATGGGCATTAGTTTTATTTCATTGTTCTTGTGTGTCATCAAATCTGACAAATTTGTAATCTTATTCTTAAGCCTACTGATTAAAGCATATAGATCCGCCATCTTCATTGTTAATTGTTGCTGCTAAAATCGCGGTAGTGATCATTAACAACATAGTTCAAAACATGACAATCCGATCCCGCCATTACGGGATCTACTCAACTATATTGATTACTTCATCAATTATTGTTTCTGTTATTATCATCAACATCGTGCCTTTTGGATGCGTAACGAAATTATACCCCAATTATACCTTTTTCGGCCTTTTGACTAACATCTTTCTGTCTTTGATGTTTTTTTGGGCTAGTTTCAATGGAACGAGTAGCTCCCTCATCATTTGTTCTCAAGGTAAATATCAGCTGCCATGGATGTGAGAGAGACATCGACAAAGTGATGCAAAAAATTCCAGGACTATGGCCTAAATCAACGATAATAGATGCAAAGCAAGGAAGAGTTACTGTTTCTGGCTTTGTAGACCCTCAAACCGTAATAAGGGAGCTTAGGAAGGCTGGGAAAATAGCAGAGCTCTTGGTAGAGCACAACCCTCGGGCTCCTGCCGCGGCTAATGACCGGAATTTGCAGATTATTTCACGGTCAGAAGTGGATGTGGGAAATACACGGGGTCAAGCTGTTGTCGTTGACCCAGTTCGCTTGGTGGCAAATATGGCCCAGTTCGTGAATGGTATTGAACGCTTGAAGTCAGTGGAGCTGACCCGTGACCGTATAAAGATGTCTTTCTTCGATTATCCAAGTGGGAAATATGGTGATACATCTCGTGGCAGTGGTACTACATCTCGTAGCAGTGGTGGTAATACAACTAGTATCCGTAATAGTATCAGTAGTGGTGGTGGTGGTAGTGGTACAACTAGTATCCGCAGTGGTGGTGGTGGTGGTACAACTAGTATCCGTACTAGCATCAGTAGTGGTGGTGGTGGTGCAGCTCGTATCCATAGTAGTGGTAGTGGTGGTACAACTAGTATCCGTAGTGGTGGTAGTGGCACAAATATCCATAGTGGTGGTGGTGGTGCAGCTCGTATCCATAGTAGTGGTGGTGGTGGTACAACTAGTATGCGTAGTGGTGGTGGTCATCGTATTAAGTCCACGGGAGCACGACAACCTTAAGTACTGTTGAAAGTGGCACATCTCATAGAAATGGTGATGGTGATGGTGATAATGGTGGTGATCGTCGTATTGTTCGAGTCTATGGGAGCACAACAAACTTAAATAGTGTCGAAAGTTCGTGTGTGAGCTGTTATCATATGTTTTGCTTGGTTTGTCCTCCAGAATCTTGGTTCTATTATTGATGTACTTGTTATTTGGTTATTAATTAATGTCTGATTATTCCTCCCTCCCTCCTTATCCTTTCTCCACATCTTCCGTAGCAAAAGCTGATATGTGTTTGGTGTAATTAAAAACAACAAAAAAAATATATAATTACGTCATTTTACATAAAAAAAAAAAATGAGACTAATTATAGCCCTTCACAATTAATCACTTTCTAAAAAAGTCCCATGGGGTTACAATTACCGAAGAGTCACACTTACCATCTTGGCAATGCTGCTACTTCAATTGTTCTTCCTCTTTGTTTCCATATTCTGTCTCAAAGTGTCGTTAATTTGTATGGTTATCTAAAAAGTATATGTGAATAAGATGAATAAATAAAAGGAAAATTTCATGAATTAGGGGTGTGGGCATCACTAAGTATTGTTGGGTTATGGATTCATGGGTGGGCACCACCAATGAGTTAACTCATAAAACATCTATCATACATATAGATAATAAATATAAAAAAAAATTCAGGGTGCGCTAGTGCCCTTTCTAGCCAATGACTGGCTCCGCCCATGGTGAGTAGAATAAGTGGATGGGATGGAAGAACCCAAGTTACCTATTAAAGGAGGGACCAACCACATGGCGAAATGTTCCTTGGGAAGGTGGAGAGAGTAAATGCTCCCACCCGCCAAGATATCTATCTCAAACCAGATAGAAGTGTGTTTTGTATGAGCAAATAATGTATGTACTTATAGCACAATACTCGAGCATGTCAAGCTGCTTAGGCCTCACTAAAAAGCCCAAAGTCTAATGGGCCTCCAACAGCCCGGAAGCCCAACAACTAAAGGGCAGCTTGACTTGTACACGTGGCAGGGCTTGGGTAGCCTGCTAGCCCAACGGGTAGGGTCTGAGCCGTGTTTTTTAGAGCTAGGGCCGGCCTGTTAAAAAGCTCGTTAAGCCGCCCATTAGCCCAATAAGATAATTAGATTATATTTCATAATTGTATTGTTTATTTGATATTTGATCTCTAACTTTTATAGGTTGAGACTTGCAAATGATTGACAATTGTATAGGTGTCAATCTAATTAGGATGTACTAAATTTGTAGTGATGCAAAATAGTCTCATCCACCAATCAATTTGTAATGTAACATAATAGCTCTATATGAATATTTGTTCAATTAAATTATTACAAACAATTTGATTTAATTTAACAAATTATTCATATTATTCCGTGGTTGATCTAGTCTAGACTATTGGACTATCTTACCTTAAAAGGTACATGTGAGATTAAGAGATAAAACATGTCCCAAATTAAAATAATATATATAAAATATAGGATATTATCACAATAGTAGGTATACGAGGGATTAAGAGATAAAACACGCCCCAAATTAAAATAATTTATTTTTGTTGACATATGGACAACTTAATGGTGTTGTGAATCCAATGTTCTATTTAATTCTAAAGTTGAATATGTGTCACCTTTCGAGAGTTCTCAATTTTTAACTAGCATTTAATTGTAATAAACTTCATTGGCTTTGACATAAGCCATAAAAACTCATTATTCAAGCCAATCAAATTGTAAAGAATTGATAAATCTTGTGACATATGTGATGCACATTCAAATGAATATTTTCAAACAAGGAATCCCTATTTGTTTGATTCATGTTTTCTACATAACTCATACCACTAAGTATAAGACAAATATATCCACCATGGAGATACACATATTCAAGGTGTATCCAACAGTGATATAGGCTTTATTAATTATTCGATACGTGCAGAAAGTATCCTATATGTATCCACAACCACGAGTATCCGACAAATTTAGGTATTCACGTCACCCCAGTCAAAGTATCAATCCTTCATAGGTCATCAGGTATAATACAAAACTAAAACCGAATTAATTAGTGTCTTATTTTCTATGCAGGATTGAATCTATCTGGAAAGAGGACTTGCAAACGCCAGCAAGCTTAAAACCAACCAATCGTGTCCGCAACTGACCAGGTCCCCTGTTTTGGGAATCAAACGCTAAAATTCCCAAGAGAAATTTCATCAAACAGGTTACAGAAATGTGGAGTATAGTAAAGCTGAATGGCTCACAAGCTTATCATGACTTCTAATGTAGTGACTAACCATTATTCACATACTTAGTTCATACCGTCACATACATTTTATCAAAGAGTAACGGGCATTTGAAACCACAGGAAACATAATTCTACACAGAAAGACACCAAGCAATACTGGGTAATGATCTAATTCAAATATCATACAGAAAATGTCAAAGACATTTTATCAAACAGCTTACGGGCACAACAAAAAAATACAGCATTATCAACAGCCCAAAAGACAGTTACCACTTACCAAGTTAGGCTTGAAGATGTTGTGGACGACGGAGGCACCGGCGAGAATCGAAACAATGACGACGGCACATGACCACGCCAATGATGGAGTACCTGTGGGTTGCTTCCCTCTTCGAAGTTTCTGATTCATCTTCGGTCTCACCTGTGTTTTGAATTTAGAAATTGTTTCGTATTTCTTATTATTTGATTTCAACCCGAGTCTAACCCAACCAACCCGAGCAACTCCAATTCGAAACTAACCCGTAACTAAATTTTAGAACTGAAAAAAAAAATGCAATCTATGTAATTGATATAAAAACACATGCCTTTTGGAATTTAACAAAACAAGCAATAGAAAAATCAAAATTTTTTACGATTTATTATTAATTTTAAAAATATTTCTTAAATGGCAAAAACACTATTTTAAAGGCTTATACTATTTCAAAAACAGAATTAATCGTTGGCCTATTTTGTGTCAGACTACACTAGTTCGGGTTAATACCAAGTTCGATCCATTTTTTGCATCTATTATTCCTTTGTAGCTTTTGGCTAAGTTTTAAATGAACGACGGTCTTCAGCTCATAGGAATCTACTACAACTTATTCTACATCAACATAATTATGGGTGTGTATGCTAGATTTTGCACAATATAAAAACGAGAACAAATATCTCATTTAGTGAACTCGAGTGAATCAGTAGAATGGTTAACCACGCTGCTTGGAACAGCCTGTGAGATCCTGTGGTAATCTGGAACGGTAATGGGAGACCCTCGTGGATCAAAGGAACGATCCAGTAAGACTGAAGAAAGGTTCCTGGAACAAAGAAGAACAAGTTAGAAGGGCGCCGGAGTGTTTTTCGGCGTATCCCCTCCGACGATCAAGTCAGTCTTTGAGAGAGAGAGGAAGAAGAAAACACTGAGTATGTATTATAGCAAATGTTTTTTGTTGTATACCGTCTTGTCTTTTGCGAGGAGTATTTATACCTCAAAATCTCATGATTGCTGTCAGTGTAGTCAGTAGGTGATCATTAGGTACAGACAGTGTGCGCACTGATTCTGATGAGGAATGTCTTCTCTTTTAACTTCTCGGGATCCCGAGCAATCAATACTGTGTCATCGGGCTGCCGACTGTTCAATGAGCTCCTCTCGGGGAGGACGCAATAAATGCCCAACCTAAAGACATTTATTGTCTTTCAATTCCGAGCTTTACCGCATTGAATGCAATCTCATAAAGGGAATGACGTAATTAAATGTTTGCTTTCCCAAATCGTGTGTTAGCAAGGACATGCGGTTTTTCTGTCTCGGATGTGACACAATATGTCACGCGTCCATTCCCCATTGGCTGTGGCCCTTGCCTTCCTGTGCCTTCTGATACCAATTGTGTAAGACGAGGTCATGATAGCTAACTTAGTCTAGTCTAGGCTAGTGACCTGTACATCAATAGCCTTTGCGGGAGCAGAGAACGGCATCCTGGACGAGGGGGTACATCTCGGTACCGAGGAAGAGGTACATCTCGGAGCCGAGGGAAGAGCCTAGCGACCGATGTACCGTATCAGATCGAGGGTACATGTCGGTATATAAAAACGTACTGGATGCCACTCAATCCCCATGATCAGCACCTCGGGGGGAGAAGAGATTTGTGACCCGATGGGTACGTGATCTCGATAACAAGGATCGAAGACACGTGTCTTCATCTTGGAGTATTCCAGAAATGTCCCATCAATGGGTGATCACACATACATCATATTTTCTTTGTCGAAACATATGATTGGTGTATTATCTCAACATAGCCAACTAGATTAAGGGAAAATTTCAACTACATATCTTTCGATTAGGTCTAAATTCAATGAAACTTTCTCCCTATTCGGAAACTTCTTTGTATCCTCTTCTGGTTTATTCTTTCAAATAAAAAACACACCCTTAACGGTAATTTTCACTCTGTCAGTACAAAAATTAACGGTTTGACTATAAAATTTCTAAAAATGTCAAAATTATCCTTTTTTTATGTAAATATACTAAAATGTCATCAACCATTTTCCAACTATATATATCATACCCTTTGTTTTGAAGGTCAAAAATAATCTGGTGTTACTGGAGGACATAGAAAACTAAAGCTAGTCATTTTTCTTCAACTTGTTCTCCATAGTGACCAATCACTACCTAAGTTGGTAAAAAAAAAAAATATTTTTTTATTGCAGATTTATAAATGTTTTCCATGCAGTTTTTTAATTTTTTTTCATGCAGATATTATTAACAATTTTTTAAAATTTTTTTAATGCAAATTTTTTAAAATTTTTTTCATGTAGATTTTTCTTTCATGCAGATATTTTTAATTTTTTTCATGTAGATTTTTAAATTTTTTTCATGCAAATTTTTTTTTTAATTTGTTTGTGCACATTTTTATAATTTTTTTCTTTTATTTTAGTATATGTCAATATGTTGTGATGTACTATTATAAGATTGATGTTTTCTTCAACCGTTGGTTGATGCAAAGACATAGGGGAATACATGGAAATTTAAGATGACAATAATTTAATAAAATTAAATATTAAATTGATGAATCTAGAGGTTAATATAATCTATATTACTTTAAAATGTGAACATACTTGAAAAACATTTATTTTTCTTTTTACCCCCAAACAATAGTATTAAAACATTTTTATCACATATTGAATGGTGATAAGAACACGTGAATTTTAATAATATAAAAATACTAGTAATTGTTTGTGCCTGAAGGCACGAAATAACAAAAAAAAATATTTTAAATTAAAAGACATACAAAATAAAAGAGCGCTAAACACATTAAAAAATAACAAAAACCAACAAACCCGTGCTTAAAAGCACTTAGAAACAAAAAAATTGAAAATTGTTAAAATTGAGCACTTCTTGCATTTAAAGTATATATAATTGTGATTTATTTTTTAAAATATCGCAAAACACCTTTATTAACACATAAAAATGTCCAAAGTTTGTCATTTGGTTCTTGATTAGTTGTAATTTCAAGCTTGGTGGTGGTAGTGGTGAAGGTGGCCAATAAAGTTTTGGCAAACTTTATCAAGAAAACCCAAAAATAACAAAAGAAATATTTAGTAGCAAATCTATGATAGGCTTCACCATTCTAACAACTATGTGCCAAAAATGTGTACCCATGTATAACTTGTTACATAATTTTGTCGATCAAAACTCAAATTCCAATAACTTTAAAAATTTGAATCATCACTTTTAACATTTTGTAGAATCCATTAGAAAAAGTTTAACCATGTCTAATGAATTCAACGTAGTAATTGTAAGTATATGCACTATTGAACATTATCAAATAGTCCACTTGAAAGGGTTAGAAATTTATTGTGCAAGAACTCCTATGCATCGATCATACCCATCATCATCATACTCCATAGAGTTCGTTTTAGGTTCCAGCATTTCTTTTAGAGTTCTCTTCAAATTCATATATTCATCCAGCTATGTCAAATCCATTGCCCTCCCATGGAAGGTATATTCACTATCACACAAAAAATAGGCAAAAATAATAGGATCAAAATTTGAAGTAATTCATGAAAAATCACAAAGTGTACTTGTATAAGTTTTTTTATTTTCCAGTGGGTTAATCATATTTTTTACATCAAGTGCTCACCCAAAACAGTCTGCAAATTGTGGAAATGTAATTGTTGTGATCCGAAAGACCCCTACTACTTAAAATAAATCAAAAATAGTATGAAATCAACAGCAAATAAAAAAAAAATTGAACACTTGATAGCTTAATACATACACATTAAATCTTCATCTAAAAATAGTTAATGAAGCATATTTCCTCACGAGTAAGAAAAAGCACATTTCCTCTGTCCAAAAAAAAAAATCTTCAATATCTTTTCACCTACCTTTGCCTCCTATTTCATTGGTTTTGTTGGATCATTCTATGAGCTAGATCCGTAAATCTTTGAAAAATCAGATCATACAAAACTCATATTATATAAAAGCAAACCAAAAAATTTGCTAGAAATTCAAAGACTACACAACAAAATTCAAAAACTTAAAAGACACAACAAAACTATAATTCACCAGTTGCATCCTTGCAAAATTCTGACCATGTTTCTGCCCTTCCATCCTTCTCCTCCTCTTCCTCCTCCATTCTCTTCTTCATCTTGTTTCTCTCACACCTTCATTGTCACACACACATTTTCCTTCTTCATTTTCTTTGTATTCATGCACACATACACAAACTTACACACTAACATACAACACACAAACTAAAACACAAAAATGCCCACTGTCATTTGTCCCCCAAATCAATTCCAATTAATAAGCCATAACCCACAATCTCAAGAAAATCAAAATCCTCATTTCGTAATGGATGGGTTAACGGTGACTCACTAACATGTTCCTTAATTTCTTTTAATACCATTGCATCTCACATAAAACTCAACCCTCAAAACACAAATATGAATTCCAATTTATCAATATCAATTAAAGAGTGATAGTGATTGTTTGCAGATCTTTGAGAAACTTCATCAAACATGTGGTGGTTATGGTATAAATTTAGTTCAATACAATACAAAATGCAGTCTGGTACTATACGAATTCAGTTTGACAAAATAGATCAAACACAAAAATTTCATCACAAAAAAAAACTCAAAAATCCATAACTGTTCTTCATCTGTCCAACTGGTTTTTGGGGTGTATGGGTATGGGTATGCACACACAGAACAAAAACACACACACATATAGAGAACACACCCTCAACGGACACAGAAAGAGAAACACACACACACACACGCACACTCAATGCACACAAAAGTAGAAACACACACACACACACAGAAGAATATCGTGTTGAGGTAGAGGGAGAGTGAAATCTGGTGTTTTAATATATCAGAGAAATTGAATCAACAACCATAGAATTCATTCAAGGCCAAAACCAGAAATCAAAAATTGTTTCAAACCCAAAACCAACATACCCACCATTCAACATTAAAAATCTGGTGTTTCAATATATCCAAAAAAATTGAATCAACAACCATAGAATTCACTCAAGGCCAAAACCAGAATTTAGCAATTATCTCAAACCCAAAACCAACATACCCACTATTCAACATTAAAAATTTGGTGTTTTGGGGCATTTTGTCAAACATATTGTGTGCGTGAGAGATGAGCAGCAG